TCCCCGACGGTCAAATTTTCCCCGGCCCCGGCCCCGGCCCCGATCCCCGACGGGGATCCTATCACTGCCCCCACCCCCGCCCCCAACGGGGATCGGGTTTCCCCGACCCCGAGCATTCCCCGGCTAACACAGAACACAGATCAGATCAGATTTAAACTGATCTAACACAGACACAGATCAGTGACAGATCGGGGATTGATTTTCAAATACCGTCACCTCCCCGTCGGGGGTATTTTTCGGGGAAAAATCGCTTAAATCGGGGTCGGGATCGGGGATCCCCGTCGGGCCGGTTTCAAATTGCCATCCCTATCAATATACAATGCTTGGTACGCCACAACAGAATGAAGTTGCTGGAAGGCGTAATCGTACACTTAAAGATATGGTTAGGAGTATGTTAAGTTACTCAATTGTACCAATTTCACTGTGGGGTGAAGCTTTAAAGACTACAATGTATATTTTAAATAGGGTTTCTAGTAAGGCGGCCCCAACAACTCCTTTTGAGTTGTGGACTAGTAGGAAACCTAGTTTGAGACACTTACATATTTGGAGTTGTCCAACATAGGCAAGAATCTTCAACCCACAAGAGAAAAAGTTGGACTCAAGAATAAGATCTCTGGATATTTCATTAGTTATTCAGACAAGTTTAAAGGGTACAAATTTTATTGTCCTAATCACAGAACGAGGATAGTGGAGACTGGTAATGCTAGATTCCTAGAGAATGGTAAAATTAGTGCCGGTGAGAAAACACAAGTGGTGAATTTCGAGGAAATTAGGGTGGATGTGCCAACATTTGACCCTTATTGAAAAATTGTTGTTCCTCAAACTATTCCACAAGCTGAGGGAAACGAACAACATAATGAAAATCCTTCACCACCTCATGTTTCACCACTTCATGAAGATACCACCATTGAAAATATTGTAGAACCACCATAACCGGCAGTTCTGAGAAGATCTCAGAGGGAAAGAAAGCCTTCCATTCCAGATGATTACATGGTGTATCTACACGAATCTGATTTTGATATTGGGATTAACAAAGATCCAGTCTCATTTTCACAAACTATGAATAGTGATGATTCTACTAAATGGGTCAATGCTATAAATGAAGAGTTAAAATCCATGGAACAGAATAGTGTTTGGGATCTTGTTGAATTGCCTAATAATTGTAAAAAGGTCGAGTATAAATGGGTCTTCAACACCAAGCACGACACGAAAGGCAATATTGAACGATTTAAAGCCAGACTTGTTGCCAAAGGTTTTACTCAAAAAGAAGGCATAGACTATACAGAGACCTTCTCTCCAGTATCTAAGAAGGACTCGCTTAGAATCATCCTAGCATTGGTAGCTCATTATGACTTAGAGTTGCATCAAATGGATGTGAAAACTGCTTTTCTGAATGGGAATTTGGATGAAGAAATTTATATGGAGCAACCAGAGGGATTTGCAAAAAAAGGTAAAGAACATTTAGCTTGCAAATTAAAGAAATCCATATATAGCCTTAAACAAGCTTCCAGGCAATGGTATTTAAAGATTTAATGATATCATTACCTCCTTTGGATTTAAGGAAAACGCAGTTGATCAGTGCATATATCTAAAGGTTAGTGGGAGAAAGTTCATTATTTTGATGCTATATGTGGATGACATTTTGTTAGCTAGTAATGACCTTGGCTTATTGCATGAAACCAAGGAATATCTCTCCAAGAACTTTAAATTGGTCGATATAGGTGAAGCAAACTATGTTATTGGCATAGAGATTTTTGGGGATCGATCTCGAGGATTGCTAGGACTATCTCAGAAAGGATATATTGATCATATTTTGGAGAGATTCAATATGCAATTTTGTTCAGCCGGTGATGCACCCATCATGAAGGGTGATAAATTAAGTGAAAAACAGTGTCCAAGGAATGACTTGGAAAGAAAACAAATGAAGGACATTCCATATGCTTTGAGGCTACAAATCATGCTTTATGGTTGTGAAATTTCATCTCAGAACTTGGTGTTGTTGACTCAATTGCCAGGTCGCTGAAGATATATTGTGACAATACCGCAACAATTTTCTTCTCTAAGAATGGAAAGTACTCCAGTGGTTCCAAACATATGGAAGTAAAGTACTTAGTCGTTAGAAAAAGAGTCTAGAAACAACAAAGTGTTAATTAACAATTTGAGCACCTTTCTTATGATTACTGATCTAGTCACAAAGGGATTGTCACCAAAGACATACAAAGAGCATATTATTAGGATGGGTCTTTTAAGCAACCCTTGATGTGTATGGTTAATCGTGAGTACTTATTTTTTTAACACTATTTGTGCAATAATAATTTTGTTTCTGTTTTTCCTGTTCTAAAAGTGTGTGTACACATTAATTTGAATATTGATAAGCAGGAAATGTCTTAACAAGACAAATTACAGGGGCCTTTCAGGCAAATAATTACATATCCCAATAATGGACTGGGTTAGTGAAGGTTATCGATGATGTGGTGCATAGAAGGGAATATGACATAAATGTTATATAACCGCTGTGATTCACATTGGTGATCTGAAGTAATCACAGTCTTATAGTTTCTAATATATCTGAACTTATTGGCTATTTTTAAAATTCGTGATCGCATGTCAAAGTTTTTAGTGTGGAATCTAATGAGTCAAATTTTTTTTTTTTTATAAGTTGCATATTTTTTGGAAAAATTCATAATTGCATCATAATCGGCTTAATGGGCCAAGTGAGAGAATGTTGGATTTATTTTTTTAGTGTGGCCCAATAGCCTACATATATCTACATGTTTTAATTTATTTGGACTCCACAATTAGATAAAGCCAATATTTGATATAAAGTTCAGTAATTATAATTTTAATATAATTGCTCTTCTAAGATAAGAGGAAACCTTGATGCATAAGCATTCTTCTGATAGAGTTTATCTGACCCTCTTATCTCCTCTATATAAGGATGGGTGACTCCCCTTTCATATCATGAGTATTTTTCCATCACTCTAAGTTTTATAGTCATCTTAATTAAGAGAGACAGAGAGAAGAAGGTGAGCCAAGAATTAAAGGTTCAACTATTAGGGGTATTTTCTCAACTTCTCTAATTCAATGGCTGACAAAGGTATGTTCGTTTTATTCTTGAGTTGTATTGAATTCAAGATCCTCTAAGTTTAATTCCGCATTATTATTATGGTTACATATATTATTAAATCTTACATATTGTTCTCATAATTTTAAAAATATCATTGACAATTCACTCTAAATAATATTTTCGTAATTTTTTTATTTAAAATATTTTCTTTTAAGTTTGTTAAAAAAAAAAAATCCAAAACCGAGGGGGCACGTGACCCCCTAGCCCTCTATACCTCTGTCCCAACGTATGATTGTTGAGAATTAATAACGTTTATTTTTTATTTAGTGTAAAAATATATATGTATATAATAAGAGAGTTGCTATTAGTATCTGTGTAAATTCTTTGGATCTCCCATTTTTGCCACCCACACCGTAAATCCTAAATTTCAATAAGATTTCTTTGAACACTGCACTTAATACCAAATTTACCCCTATTCATAATATTATCACACCCAAGAGTACACACATCTAATTTTGCACACCCTTTCTCCTTCTCCTTTTGATGACCGTCCAGCTCCTGTTGAAAAGAATGCTGACGATCATTGCATCAATAAACACCATTGCCTCAGTAAAGAACATTGCATCGATGGTCCATTATTGAAATTTCTGTCAACTCAGAAGGAATCGACTGGACAGTGTCCAAAGAGCACCATCGGAAAACTCGTCAGAAATTCCTATCTATGATTGCAGAAAATTCCTCTCAAGTAAAACTCTCATGAAACACACAATTTGATGTTGAAGATACAAAAATCGAACCGTTTAGCACACCAGTACTGACTATCTGCATTATTATTCGGAACCCATATATGGAACTAAATGTTTGTGTTCAGTATTGTATTACCGAACATAATCTTAACAGCAAACCAGTATTGAACAGCTCGAACAAAACAATAATGATTGAAAATGACCGAAAATGTTAATGTAAAACAGATAAACTTACCAATGAAAAGTCAGCCTCATCAAAATTGTTGTCATCGTCTTCCATTGCTCTACAAGGTGAAATAACTGATTAAGAGTAATACGTTGGACTTAAAAAGAGCTTTCTAGTTCAAGGTTTCTGGTTCAGGAGGGTTTATGATGGTGATGAAGATGATACATTCAGGGTTTGAGATAGTTATGAAGAGTAACAAGTTTAGGATTTATGTTTGGTTATGAAAAGTAACAGGTTTAGAGTTTAGAAAGGTGGAATACGTATAGCTGGGGGTGGGGTTAGGAGTACAATATTATAGAGTGTTAATTCTTATTTGGTAGGTAGGTGTTCCATTAAATGATGTCTTCTAATGTAATTTTATTTCAAGGTATAATTGTAATAAATAAATTAAAACAATTAGAAATTGGAGGGTCTAAAAAATTTACTCTATAATAATGATAAGTAATAATTTGTTGGATTTGGTAAGGAAAAGGATTATAAAATATGAGGGAAATCATCTCGCCTTGTTTGTTTGATTGTTTGCCTATAGAAGACAGAAGAGTAACATATATTTTTAAAAAAATATTGAAGAAATTTTGAAAATCTAATTTATCTAAAAGCTATTTTGTCACAAATTCCTTCTCTTGAAACAAAGCTGGATTCATGAATACTCCACAAAGCATCTATATTTTTTATTGGGGTAGGAAAATGACCCATGAACCCCAAATGACACTTGCCCAACGGTGCTTCTCAAAAGTCTGACCCGTCGTTTTACGATCACAAATTTTTTATGGGAAGGAAGTAGACCCAGAGAAACCTCCAAATGCAAAAAAGACAAGTGGACTGACCGACTCAATTAGTCCATCCAAATATTTTCACAAGTGACAAAACCAACCATCACCTTCTCTTTGCTGGTGATTACAAAATGTGGACCATACAATATGTAGAATTGCTAGAACTGTCTATCTATCAATGCATTCTTATATATATACATATGTATGTATCTTGAGAAATTCATATGTTTACCAAGTATTGATGCTATGTTTTCGTGGTGCTTAGTTTGAAGCAAAGATGAATAGTCAGAGTATATACACCACATTTAATCTTACTGTCTTTCTTCTTCTTTCATTGCTTTCTCAATTTGTTTCTCTTGAAACCAGTAGATTCAATTCCAATGATGGTAATGTAACCACGCAGTGCATTGAATTTGAGAGGAAAGCCCTTCTTGAATTCAAAGAAGGACTCACAGATCCTTCTGGTCGGCTTTCTTCTTGGGTTGGCAAAGATTGCTGTCGATGGAAGGGTGTGAGCTGCAACAAACACACTGGCAACGTTTTCAAGATTGACCTCAGCAACCGAGGAGATTCTTGCAGTTTGTATGAAGGGATTGCAGACAATTATAACTCCTCATCATGTTTGGGAGGTGAGATAAGTACTTCTTTGCTCAACATAAAGTATTTAAGTTACTTGGATCTAAGCATGAATGATTTCTATGGAATCGCAATCCCAAATTTCATCGGTTCACTTGAGAAATTGAGTTATCTCAGTCTTTCTCAATCAAATTTCGGTGGAATGGTTCCGTCTCATCTTGGAAATCTGTCAAACTTGCAATATCTCGACCTCTCTGTATTTGTTTTTTACTACAATATTTGGGCATCAGATTTAAACTGGCTTGTTGGCCTATCTTCTTTGAAGTATCTTAATCTTGGTGGTGTGAACCTGAGTGAAGCAACAGATTGGTTGCAATCAATTAATACCATGCCCTCTTTGTCTGAGTTACACTTGTTTGATTGTCAACTCCCCAGCTTTCCAAAAGCTATACAGAATATAAATTTTACTTCCCTCTTGGTCCTCGATCTCTCTTTTAACGAGTTTAACTCTTTGTTGCCTCTATGGCCTTTCAATATTAGTACTCTTGTGGAATTCAATGTCAGTTTAAACAATTTTACGGGTTCCATTGTCAATGCTGCTTTGGGAAACTATCATAACTTGCAATCACTAGATTTATCTTCGAACTCTATTAGTGGTGACATAAGTGAACTTATAGAGGGATTGTCTGGGTGTTGTAACAATAGCTTGAAGGAGTTGATATTGGGGTCCAACAAATTTAATGGGAAGTTGCCCGATTCATTGGGACACTTGAATTATTTGAGATCCCTTGTACTGAATGAGAATCTGATCTCAGGTCCAATTCCAGAATCTGTTGGAAAGTTGTTTTTTCTAAAGGAATTGGACCTTTCTTTTAATGAGATGCATGGGTCTATCCCTACAAGTTTAGGAAGACTCACTGAGTTGACTAAATTGCAACTCTTCCATAATTCTTGGAAAGGCCTCATGTCCCAAAACCATTTACAAGGTCTGGCAAAACTACGAGTTTTCTCCATATCTTCGGACACAACTTGCATTTTTGATGTGACACATGAATGGGTTCCTCCATTTAGCCTGTTAGCTATCCAAATCAGTAACTATCTGTTGGGTCCAAAATTTCCAACATGGCTGAGAAATCAGAAAGAACTTTCATCCATAGTCCTCACAAATGTCTCCATTTCAGATACCATACCTGACTGGTTTTGGAAATTGTCAATGCAGATTGACATGCTCGATTTATCTCACAACCAAATTGTCGGTGTTGTTCCCAACTCATTAGGAATTTCCTTTGTGGACTTGAGTTTCAATCGCCTGGAAGGCACAATCCCACTCTGGCCTAACGTAATTTGTCTCTTTCTGAACAACAATTTATTTTCAGGAGCGATTCCTTTGACTATTGGCAGTGTCATGTCATCGTTAGTCATGCTTAATCTTTCTGGGAACTCTCTAAATGGTACCATTCCTTTGTCCATATGTAAATTGAAAGTTTTGATAAATCTCTATCTTTCATACAATCATCTATCTGGACAAATTCCCATGCATTTGGAGGACTTGCGAGCTCTTGGGACCCTAGATCTGTCCCAAAACAATCTCTCTGGCCATGTTCCTGAATCAATGTGCTCGCTATCATTTCTTTATTGGTTGAGGTTGAGTGGTAACAATCTTTCTGGCGAGCTCTCTTGGTTGAAGAATTGCAGGGGTCTGCACACTCTTGATCTTGGAGACAACAAATTTTCCGGGAACATACCAGGATGTCTGGGAGAAAATCTTTCGTTGCTTTCCATCCTCCGAATGCGAGCCAACTTGTTCACCGGAGATATACCTCAACAGCTATGTCATTTATCTAATCTCCACATCTTAGACCTTTCTCATAACTATTTTACAGGATCTATACCTCGCTGTTTGGGAAATTTGAGTGGCTTTAATCATTTCGCCTCTCCCGATAGAGCATTTCCATGTGCATTTCGACATCCACCTCAGTTTCATCAAATCAATTTGGCAGTGAAAGGAAGACAATTTGTGTATACCACCACGCTTGAGCTCGTTAATGTTATAGACCTTTCGAGCAATAATCTATCTGGGGAAATCCCAGAAGAGATAGCAAATCTGTCAGACTTGGGTACCTTGAATTTATCAAGAAACCAATTGACAGGAAAGATACCAAAGAAAATTGGAGAATTGCGATGGTTAGAAACGCTAGACCTTTCGAGCAACCACCTCTCCGGTTCAATTCCTTCAACCATGTCTGCTTTAACATCACTGAACCATTTGAACTTGTCATACAACAACTTTTCAGGGTCAATTCCTTCAACCAATCAGTTCCAAACTTTCAATGATCCATCCATTTATGAAGGTAATCCAGAACTTTGTGGGCTCCCATTGTCAACCAAGTGTTACATTGCAACTGATGTTGATGCAAAAGACAAATATGGCAAAAAAAAGGTGGACAATAAGGAAGACGAGTATGATGAGTTGTGGTTCTGTCTTAGCACAGTAGTTGGATTCATCGTAGGATTTTGGGTTGTTTGTGGCACTTTGGTACTAAAAAGGTCTTGGAGAACTGCTTATTTTCGATACCTAGATGAAGTGAAAGATTGGCTCTTTGTGGTCATTGCAGTAAATGTGGCTCGTTTTCAAAGGACGACATAGAGACGGTTGTTTTGGTGTCTTCTTCTGGTAATGGTTTTGGCTCTATTTTTATTTTCTGCCATATATTTGAGATTATAAAGAAGCAAGAATTTGTTAGTTGTTGTCTTTTTGTTTTTGATTTTGTTGTCATTGTTGCAGTGAACTTGAAACAAGGTTACAGGCATAGAAGGAAGGAAGGATGATTTCATAAAACCATTTTATATAAATTTTCTTATGATGTGCCTCTAAAACCATAGATTTTCCCGAGTTGTTTTGCTATGTTAAAGTTTTTCCAGATTGTACTTTGCTTTCCTAATTTGTCGAATATATAAATAATATTGAAGAATTTCCATGAAAATGTGATGTTATAATCACCTTTATTACTTTTCTTGCTTCTGAATTAAACATTGATTTAAAAACAGTCCCAAGATAAACCGATTACTCTTACACTAACAAAGATGGGAAAATCTATTTCACAATTCGCCATCTCTGTTCTGACTATTACTTACAAATTTGAAAAAATTTCAAATATGATGAAATTAAGTTGATTTCGTGGTTTTATCTTTTTAGCTTGTGCATTTTTTCCAAATATATATACCTTTTCAAGTACATTTTCTTCCTTTAGAGATTGATCAAACAAATATTTAACTCCTTTGTTTCATAAGTTAGATCATTACCAACCAAATTCACAAACGGCTTTGATACCGTGCAAGAGAAATGACAAGCAACTTTGCAAATGATACAATTCTCACGCAATCATGCCAATTCAGATATGAAACTTCACACAAACGGGATGGATGATGAAAATCTTGGCATATCTTCCAATCTTCGAGCCAAACTAGGTAGGCAACATGATACTGACCTTGACAATTTCTGTTTCTCAGATTTGTGAACTCTCCCCCAAGCCATTTCATTACTGAAATCAGAAATTGCTTAAGAAATTTGAGGGCTTCCATTTATTGGTATTGTATGTTTGCCTTCTGGCTTTTGATCGGAAGTAACAGTCTCAATGCCTTGTAAATTTTGATATTCATCGACTTGGTCCTCATTGAAGCTGTCGCTGAAAAGGTCAGCCAGTTTCTTCACATTATCGGTTGGAAAATGTTCGGATATGGAACCAGGCTAAGATGTTTGTATGAAGCTGCTTCGGTGGATGGGCGTGTTGCCACTAGATGGGATAAACTCTGCTTGAGATATTACAAACTAGTCAAAAACAGAAGTTAAAAAATAGAATGAAATCTGAAAGTAAATCATTATTAGTTGTTGATGCAAAGTAGTATGCTTCCTTGCAAAATTATTGTACCAAAAGATTAGAGTTATCTTACCACCATTAATGCTGAAGAAATCCTCAGAGTCAGATTCTAACCAGAGTTGAGAATCGAAAAACTTCTCTTCTTTACTCCCTGCATAAAATAGCAGGAACACTAGTTAATATTGAAATCCAAAAAATAGTTAATCAATGTGTTCTGTATTCATCTGATGAGTAATAATAGTTAAAAGAAGTTCGATAAGAGAAGAGATAAAAATGTGAAATTAGGGTAATCCTGTTGTATTTTGAAATTTAAATATATCCAAGTTACTATTTCTTGTCTTAGTGCCAGAAACTCCCACCAGCCATTGATAGGTCTGACAAGCATCAAATACCCGTGTAGAGAGACAGGTAAGAGATAAAAATGTAAAATGAGGGTAATATTTTGGTAGTTTAATCCTATTTTATGTTTTGAAATTTAAATTGTACATAAATATAAATACATACAAAAATATTTAATATATATATAAGTGGGAAGGGGGATCAGGACGGATTAAATTGTTATCTCTTGTTCTAGTGCTTAAAACTTGGAAGCTTGGCGCCCAAGTCACAATCACAAATGCATATAAGATTACCATATATATATGCAATCTTGGTGTGTCTTATTACAAATTTACAATCTCTTACATTGAGAAATACATATCAAATAACCATTTGATTAGATTAGATGAGATTACTTCACCAAAATATGTTGGATCAGATTCATTTTCCATCAAGGGAAAAAATTTATGAAAACAATTTAAGTAATTATTACAATGGCGTTGTTATTACAAGCATATTTACTGCCAGCATGATAATACTTCCTTTAATAAAACATAAATACAGAAAAAAAAAAAAATAAATAAATAAATTTACTGTGACTTTAGTGATCTTAGGTGGAATATGATCAAATATGTAGATTAAATCCATTAATTCACTAAGAATGTCAAGATTAAACGGTTCATTCACATGAATAGCCAAGGAATTGGGAAAAAACAAACCAAAAAAAAAGGAAAAAAAAAAAAAGAAAAGAAGAGAGAATCTAGAATTTTTATTACTATTCCCAAGCCATTAAGTACATTGATACTCATACTCCATTAAGAAATTTGCAATTAAGGAAATTAAATCAAATGAAATATGTATAAAAAAAATTGATGAAATCAAATTCTGACTAGAAAGAAATTGAATAAATATTTTTTTCCCAAAACAATTAAATCATTAAATTGACACTCTAATGCTGTGTTTGGTTGGGGGATTTACAAAGGGATTTGGAAAGGAAAATGGAAAAGGTAGATGAAATGTAAATAAAATATGTCTATATTTCATCTAATTTCACACATCTTTCCAAATCCCTCCTCAAATCTCCCAACCAAACACAGCACAAATGAATGAATTCTCCTAATATTTGGTAGTTCATGGTTGTAATCGATTTATAATATAGGTTTCACTAGGAGAAAATATAAATTAATTCTAATGAAGAATCGGTATTATGCTAAAAGAATCAAAAGAAAAGACATAAGGACTATGATTCGGATAAAAATCATTGGAAAAACAAACAAACATTTCATAGAAGATATAAATTAATTCACGAGAAGAATCAGAATTATGCTAAAAGAATCAAAACAAAAGACATCTCAGAACACTATGATTTAGATAAAAATCATAGGAAAAACAAACAAACATGTCATAGAACATATCAAAGTTAGCTAGCTAACATAAGAAAAAAAATGCTCAAAAAGTTACTCAAGAGTGGCTTACTTTGTTAAAGGATTAGTTTGCAATTCTTTTCTTTTCACTAATTTTTTTTTCAGGAACCAAACAGGGGAAAGAAATCAAAAAATTTAAACCCTAGTTGAGTTGCGACAGCTCACCTATCTCTTGTCTACTATTTAGTGGATTAGTATCTAGTAAGCACCATCTATCTCGCAATTATAAAAAATTTAATGACTATGAAACTATTGAATAAATTTTCTTAATGTTTGTGCCTACAAAATGAGGATTGAAAAACCTTCTTTTTATAGGATTAGCTTGAGTCTGATTTTGTTTACACTTTCAAATACAACTTATTTATCTAAAATAATGAGATTCATAATTTTGGATGAAGTCAATAAACTTTCTATACATAAGAAACGCACTATTTTATACCAATAAAATATTATATTTTATTCATACTTTTGTGCCTTTGTATGGGAGTCGTGCACTTCAATTTTTTGGGTCCCCAAGAACCTTTACTTTGCTAACATGCAATTAGGTCACCCAATGAAATTTTTAAAACAGTATACTTGATATTAGTTAAACATGTTTTCATTACATACTAATCGATCTTGTAAGCTTTGAGTTGATAACTTGGCAAAGATGTTTTAATGAAAATGAAATCAAGCAAATTCTTACATCCTGAAAACAAAACAAAACAAAGTTCAATTCTTATATGATTATAGAAACAATCTTAGGAAATTACAGAATGATCATATATTAGCTTTTATCCCAAAGGGGCTTTTTTTCTATCCTCCTCTAGAACCCTTTTCTTTCTTCCTCATCAACCCAAGCATGTACTAGGAAAGGCCACCTATTAAAACTAACATAAATTATCATTGTTTCATTACACAAATGGGACCAAGGAAAACTCAAGCCCCAACAAACACGCAGTCTCATTAATGGCCTAAACCCCATTAACTTAATTAAAGCCCGTATGATCAAAAATCCAAAAATAACTACACGATTTTACAAACATTCTTGGGTATTACAAAACTACTTTTGGAACGGTATTTCCATGTTTCCCTCCTAAACTCGCCTAGAGTTGATCAAACCCAAAACCTAAGATAGGAAAAGCCACTATTAAACTGACAGAAGCTTTACACTCAAGGCCCAACAAATTCGCCGATCTCAGTAATGTGCCCAAACCGCATTCTAAGCTGAGCCCCAGCTTCATCGTCAGCCCTCTTTTATATGTATCAGAAAATCTTTTACTAGAGTTGGTGGGGTGCGCCAGGCCGAGGCAATAGTGCAACGCCAAGGCGACGCTCGAGAAGCCCCAGCAGCAAGCTACTGTTTTGGACCCTCCCCCTCAAAAAATTAATTTAATATCATGTGAACCAATGGCCCACGTATCAGATATTAAACTGATAAGAACAGATACTACACTTGATCTTAGCCAAAAGGCCGAGAAAGGTATGCCTATTCCTCACTTGGGCTGGCTCTTTAATAGCCCAACTTACCACCCCTCTTTCTCTCTTAGCCTCGATGTGGGACTCTCTCCCTCTCTAGACTCTAGCTCCGAACAAAACTCTATCTGAATCAAACCAGTCACGTTAAACTGGGTTGAACTTGAAGCATTTGCACCTTTGGAAACCATCTGAACCCATAACATTGGTCCGATATCTGTTAGTTTTGTTAGTTTTATGGGACTAGTTTGGATTAGTCCCATTACTGCCATAACAATGACAAAATGCTCTGTTTGTTTGTATTTTTTGTATATATATCATTGATCTAGACATTGTTTTGCCTACAAAACAGAGGTCAAAAATCATGTGGACTAAACCCGAGTAAATTAAAATCATGTTTCTTAATGCAAATTGTTCAAAACATATTTTTCAAATTCAAATTGTTAATCAAATAGTGTTTTGAAAACTCATCTTCATAAAACTAGGTTAATTTGAGAAATAAGTTTTAAAATATTTGATTTGAATTTGACAATTTGTTTTGAAAAAGGGAGGATTTGGGTTTTTTTTTTTTTTTAAAAAAAAAAAAAATTACTCAGTAATATAGCCCATCTATCTGGACTATATTTGAAATAATAAAAAAAAACAACCTATAATTTATGCCACTAATTTTATCTAGAAACGCAATATGTGATACAGATTCAACTCTTGTGTAGGTATTATGTCCCCCACTTAGATACTATTTGGCATCCTCTATATTAACATACTTTTTTTATTTTTTTGGTCATATCACTCTATTTTTTTACATATCTTTTCGTAAAATGTCAAAAAGTATACTTATTTAAATTAATTTTTTGAGTCACAAGTTAATATTTTTGGATTAATTTTTTAGGTATGTAGTATTGTTAACCCCTCGCCCAAAGTTTTGAAAACGCCATTAATATAGCAGTGTTGATTAAAAATATTTTCAAATGATATAGTTTCAGCCTTTTTTTTTATTTGTTTGAAAAATTTAATACCCTCCTCTTAAACTTTTATATTTTTTGAAAAATAGTACTAATATTGTAAGCCTTAACGTATTCTTTCCGAAATTAGAATACTGTTTTCGTCCCAGAATGTTGTTGGTTTTACACTCATCACAATTCACAGCAAGCTCTCACCATCAGCAATAACTTTGTAAAATGATGAAATCCAAACAGCTCTTATGGAGAGTAATGTTTGGTTGCAAAGAAAGAAACATTTTTTATCAAAAACATTTTTCTTTGTGGCAATCGTTCTGCTAAATTATTCTCTCACCGTTTTTGCAGTGACCAAACTGTGTGGGCAAGGCTGTTGCTGTTCATTCCTTGCAGCTCGGCCCAATTTTTCCCAAAAATTACCCTCTCAGAGAGTAATGTTTGGTTGCAAAGAAAGAAACATTTTTTATCAAAAACATTTTTCTTTGTGGCAATCGTTCTGCTAAATTATTCTCTCACCGTTTTTGCAGTGACCAAACTGTGTGGGCAAGGCTGTTGCTGTTCATTCACAGCAAAAAACATAGAATTGAGCTCACGTTGATGTCGATGTTAATGAATGTACTGTCCCTCCACGGCAAATTGTTTGCTTTCTCTTCTTTTTGTTTCCTAGTGTTTTGATTTTCGCTCTTCTGACAAATATACAATAATTAAAACAGGCTCTTGTTTTCATCATTGAATAATAAAATAATAACATAAAAAAATCAGGTGTTTTCCTCTGTAATCATCACCTACTCATGAAGTTAGGATGAACAAAACAATTTCTTAGTTATTGTGAGAAGAAAATGAGGAGCATATTCCATAAAACTACTTTTAGTGGTTTTGAAAATAAATAAAAATAAGATACCATGGCCTAATAGGGCCATTCATATGCCATATTTACAGAGATGAAGTAGCTAAAATGCTCATTGATAAATCCAGTTTTAAATAAATTTAAAAATAAAAAAAATCTCGATCATCCAAAAGTTAAAAAGAATTTTGACAAGTGATCAATGGAAAAATTATCTCATAAATCAGAAAAACTAATTGTAAATAAAAACTATATCAAGTGCAAGCGAGCACTACGCCTGGTGTAACTAATTGCAAATAAATGAACTATATCCGAAACTATGTCTAGTGCAAGTGAGAACTGCTTTTGATGCAAGTGAACATTGTGCTCGGTGTAAGTAATTGCAAATCAACAAAAATTTATCTAGAACTATGTCGGGTTCAAGCGAAGAATCGCTTCTGATGCAACGAATGGCAAAGTTTCCTTAACTTGTAATTAGTTTTTCATTTTTCATTTATCTAATCTTTTTTGTAGAATAATTATGGTAAAAAAAAATCCTAAGATGACAATTCCCTGAACTACAGCTGATTTTTTTGGCAATTTTTATATTTTGTTGTTTGTAGTTTGTGTTAGTTTTTTTGTTTGGTCTTTTGGGACCTTCTTCTTGTTCTTATTCATTTATATTGTTTATTTTATTTTAACATAACTGTGTTTAACTTTTCTCCAAAAAAAATAATAAATAAAGATTATCAAGTAATTCCCTTGATCTTATGTTATTTTTAAAAAAATAATACTCTCCCTCTCTCATTGATGTAGTGATTGTACTATTCTTACACTTTCTTATGCCATTTTCTTTCTATAAATCGCCCTTTCCCCCAACAACAAGAGCCAGACCTTAATTACCAATTTTTAATATTCAGAGAATGGGATTTGAAGGTATGGAGGAAAATGATTTGAGAACCAAGAGCTTTCGCGACGAAGACTACAATAACAGAAGGGTGTTCTTAAGAAGCTATCCTCTTCAATGGGGAGGAGATGAAGGTGAAGAAAACAAGCAAGACACAGTCGAAGTCTATGGTGGTGGTGGTGGTGATGGGAAAAAGAAGCCCATAAAAAAGTTAATTGTAACAGTTTTTGAGTGGGGTGAAGGAAAGATTTTGGTGTTGAGGAGATTTAAGCACAAGATTGAATTTTACATCATTGCTTGTCTTCCAGTTGCCTTCAAACCTCCAACCGCCTTAATTTCAGCTTAACATCTTGGATTCGAGATCTTTTGTCACGTATCTCTTTGCAACGGTTTAGATTTGAAGTTGAAGAAAGCCGATATTAAGTTGCCGCTTAACGTCTTGCTTCTTCTGCTGTCACTTCTCTCCTTATAATTTGTGTACTTTCCATTCAACTATATCATGTATGTCACTGGATCCATTCTTGACAGATTTTCATTATGCCATGTGAATGAGAGTGCAACGAGACGGAGATGTTCGGAGATAAAAGGATCCATGGCCCATGTACATCTTTTTTCTTATGCTTTTACTTCTCTCTCTCTCTCTCTGTTGAATAAAAATTATCTTAAATTCATCACTCTCTCTCTCTGTTGTAATGCATTCCAAGCTGTAAAGACCATGTCTCGATTCTCCAAATTTCTATGCTAAAAGATTTTCACAACATCGTGCAACTAAATTTCTATATTAAAATTTTTTAAATACCGTGCAACTGAAAGTGCATTTAGACTGAAGATTTTGTGATATAGATGACCTACTCCTGCAAATCTATATTAATGAGCATCCTATAATGTAAAAAATTTCATCAAACTATATTTTATTGAGATAAAGCAAGTTCTTTCCTCTCTTCATATAACTAATAGGGACAACCTTAATGGATACAAAGTTATTTCAAGAAAAAAACCTGTCTCCAAGGAAACAGAATTTGCTGCATCAAAGTTGAAACCTGATAATCTATAAACAGAATTTTAAAAATTTCAGAATAATAAAAAAAAAAAATTATTCAGTTCAATATAATCAACAATTTCAGTTTAATTCTAATATATTTGCCAAGAAATTGAAAAGGAAAATGCCTCAAACAACAAAAGATCAATACAGCATATACCTCATTCATTAATCCGTGTACTCTTTGATTGATGGATAAATTTCTGCTGAATGTAAAAGAAATCAACGAAACAAATCCTCTACCCCGAAAAAAAAAATTACATATAGTAACACCATATGATACAACAAAAATTACATTTACAAACCAAGCCTCTTAGGTCTCAGGTAAGTGGAAGAGCCTTGCCGCATCCCCGGCGTTGAGACTTGTTGCTGCGTCTTTGCCCTCTTCTCCCTCTCCTTCGCCTTGCTCTCTCTCTCCGCCTCTGCTTGTACCTTCCTCAAATTCTCCATCTCCTCCTCCATCGCCGTCTTTTCTTCCTTCTGTTTCTTCTTATGCTCCAACATGGAAGTATCCGAGTCCTTCACCGAAAAGAACATGGGTCCAAGCTCGGCCAACCACTGGGGTTCCACAGCTGTTGCACACTGCATGTATTCCTTCGTTGTCAAGATCAACTCATGATAAACCACGTAATCCGGAGTGTAGCCCAAACCATACAGAGCACTGCTTGGGTGCAAGTGACACGGCATTCCATTCCGGCAATTAACGTACTCCCCCACCCCCTTGAGCCTTGCAGCGTTGTGAAAGTACGCAGAACAGATTGCTTTCCGTACAATATCCCAATCAGGGTCACATGATGTGAGCGGGATTTTGAGCGTTTTGAGAATATCAAGTAGTTGGGATCGTACCTCCCTAGCCTTTCGTAGCCCTTTAACGTGGAGAAAATGGTCATTACACCAATCTCCCCGGTACTGATTAGCTTTCCATTGCTGGTAAACGTTGAGCAGCGTCAAATGGTCTGATTCAGGCACGAAGAATTTTTCCCTTGCAGCATCGCTCTCCTCTGCCCTATCTTTAGGCCTAAAGAACACAGATGGCACTGAAAGCATTGACACAATTGTCAGAACTTCGTTTAAGCATCCAAGCTGTTCACCCATCAAAAGCATCTTAGCAAGTGGAGGATCTAATGGAAACTCCACCATTTTCCAACCGAGATCAGTTAGGTTTCCGACATTATTAAGGGCACCCAAGACCCACAACTGGTACATGGAATTAAGGATGTTATCCTGTGGAGGTGGGTCCATGAAATCAAAATCTAACAAGTTCTCGATTTTGAGGGACTTGAGCAACAAAACCACATTGCCAAGATTAGTCCTCTGAATTTCAGGCACCGGACTCTGCAGCATTTCGTTTTGGTATGCAGTATCTGTATAAAGACGATAACAGGTTCCCGGACCGGTTCTACCGGCACGCCCGGCACGCTGGTCAGCAGCGGCACGGCTCACAGGGAAAACTTGAAGAGCATCCATACCCATCCGTGGGTTGTACACCTTCATTTTACCATATCCTGTGTCAATGACATAGTAGATTCCATCTACAGTCAAAGATGTCTCAGCAATATTTGTAGCAACAATACATTTGCGAGCCCCTTCTTCAGCTTTCTGAAATATTTTTGCTTGCAAATCAGCTGGTAACTGGGAGTAAATAGGGAGAATCAAGAGTTTAGGAACAGCTTTCTTTGTGGATGATACGAGCTGTTCCATACGCTCTGAAAGTGCATAGCAAGTTGCTTCTATTTCGTCTTGGCCAGTCATGAAGATTAGTATGTCACCAGCGGGACTGGTGATATGGATAGTCATGGCCTGCTTCACCGCAGCTTCAACATAGTCTTCACAAGGGGTTTTACTATACAAAATATTTACCGGGAATGTTCTTCCAGGGATGTGGAAAATTGGTACACTGTAACAAAATGAGAAATCATTCATGCTTAGTGCCTAACCACAAACAATGACCACGCGCAGTTTAGTATTTATAAAAAATTTACCTTCCAAAGAAATTTGAAAATTTCTGTGCATTTAGAGTTGCAGACGTCACAATGAGCTTGAAATCACGACGCCGGGCAACCACCTTCTTAAGGATCCCAAAAAGCACATCTGTGTTAAGTGATCTTTCATGTGCTTCGTCCATTACAATGACACTGCAAAATTATAACCCTGATCGTCAGTAATTTGATTAATTGTGAACAGAACTGAACACCCAAAGCTAAGCAAATATATAGCCTCAAAAGTTTCAATTAAAAAGTAAAATATAAAGCTCATACCGGTACTTGTCAAGATCAGAGTCTTTTAGTGTCTCACGCAGAAGTACACCATCAGTCATGTACTGTAACAAGGGAAATGAAAAGACTCAGCATCACATAATCCCATAGAACATGGGCACCCAAAAACAGCAAACCAAGATACAACAAGACCAGAATCCACAATTTTTTATAAAAAAAATTGCAATATCAAAGTTGCGTCATATATAACCATCCAAGAAAAAAAATTTCCCTTGGAAATTGAGATAATAATATCACTTTGGGATTGACTTAAAAATGTATTCTTTCACAAGCACAAAAAATAATTAGTTACCTTGATTACGGTGTTCGGTCCAGTCACATCCTCAAAGCGAATGGCATATCCAATTTGATCACCCAGTTCAGTTTCCATCTCTTCACTCACTCTTTTGGCAACACTCATGGCTGCTACACGCCTTGGTTGGGTGCAGCCCACAATGCCATTAATTGTGTAGCCATCTTCACGCAGATACTGCCAACAATTTCTAAAGGTCAGACTACAGATGATAACATAATTACAGCTGCACTCTCAAAACTACAATAACCATTATATGATCTTTTACTAATAATTGAACCTGTGTCAGTTGAGTTGTTTTTCCAGAACCAGTTTCTCCGACAACTACCACAACCTGGTTTTCGCGAATCACCTACTCCATGGGAAATTGAAGCTGAGTTAGAAATATGTTCAACTGGAATGGTAACACAACAAAAGAAAAAATCCAAGGAATTCTATCAGTGCTATCATCACTTCTTAGTTGCATATCAAGTAAAAACAGGACTTAAGAAAGCACTCAGATGTCTAATAGGATAGTAAAAAGGACGAAAAATTTGTAATAGAACATTTTATCAGCAAGTGGATTAGTGAACGATCCTCCAAAAAAACAATTATACTGCATACAAAAGGATAAATATCAAACCTGCAATAACTCCTCTCGTACAGAATATATGGGCAGATACTGGCGTTGCTGAGCTAGTGTTTTTGACTTTGCAAAATCACTCACTGCTTCATCCTTCTTTAAGTGTGTAGCAAACTTGGCATCTTCCTTGAAATCAACTTCACCTTCTTCACCTACTACAGCGGTATCTGCATCAACCTATCATAGAACAAAACAAAGCTTCAGTGACGTGCTTCATGTGTGTGTGTGTGTGTGCGCGCGCGCACGTGTGAGAGAGAGAGAGCAATCCATTTCTTTATTAACAGAAAAGAAGTCAAGTTTTCAGTTTTCAAAGCATTATACCTGCTCTTCTGTCTTCTCAACACCGAGGATATCACCAAGTTTTGAGCCTGCAAGCTCCCAAAAACGTTGACGTGATTTGTTCGAACTTTGTTTCTCATGAATTTCCCGTACCAGAGCAGACCCTTTCCGGGATATAATTGCCATATCTGATGTTGGGTCTTTTAATGGCATTATTGGCTCTGCTTGCTTTGTGAAAACAACCCTTCCATCCAGGAAAGGGGGTTTTGTATCTGTGACAAGAAGCAATTACAAAAATATAAGATAAAAGAAAATGGCAAGAATTAATTGACCAGGATTTCTGTCAATTGATTGGGAAAGGATATCTGAGTTGTCATACCATGAACAAGAAGAATAACCTTCCGCTCCTCCTCATCATCAAATTCAGTCTGCACCTCAGTACCTCTAACTGCTCCAGATCTCAGCAGTTGCCTGTCCTCCCATTGAGCATTATCGGCCGTGAGCTGTGATAACTTTTTGCTCTGAGCAAGTGTCATTTTTGTTCCATCCCTTCGAACCTGTAATTCAAAACTTATAATTAGTTTAAAAGGGAGAACAATGCTGAATGGCAGCATATCTCAACCAATGCCATAAGTTGAAACTATGAAAAGACATTTCCCTCATACCAGTTTTTTGGCCAACTCTGTCTCTTTCTTTTGGAAAGAAGCATCATCGCCGAGGAAAAATGATGAACTATCCACATCAAACATTGTATTTCCTTCTTCTCTATCATACCTACAAAGTAATAGTTAATAGGGTGAGTATGAAAGGTTAGAGAAAGCAGGTACATATTCCTCGTCATGTAAGTCTCATGAAATCATATACAAAAAATGTGATAACGACCACCAAAATAGAAATGCCTCAGAAGCTGACATTTTAAGAACACCTAGGTCAAAAAGGTGGTTATGGTAAAGTAAAATGTGGAATCCAAGGGACTTTTAATGCATTTACTAAATTCAAACAAGGTTTTTGGATGACTATTCGCTAAACAAAGATTGAATTGTTGAAACACCGGTTGAGACAGCCAAAGCAATCACGTAAAGTTGTCAAATTTATGTAATCTAATCTACCCGACTAGCCCTCTCTTTCTCCAGAAGTAAAATGTTAAAACTAGTCATCCTTCAAAATTGACACATCATATACATACCAAGCATTTCTATCATGTCAAAGATGAGCTACATGCAGTTACAATGTAATATATAAACTCCAGCTAAAGCTAATTACCATGCACGGTCAGAATTGTATTCCATCTCCAAATGCATGCTCTCTGTGATCTCTGGATTGTTATCTTTAGAGAAATAGTTATTATCGGCTTCTCCATCCTGGATATAACAAAAATAATAAATAAAACACAGCAAGAAGGGCATAAAAATTTACTGCACTAGCTCCTTGGTTATGGATAAAGAAAGCCAATACATCCAAGCATTGTATCCACAATCTTTATCAGATTTCAAGATTCCGTATGCGAATCTTCTTTTTCAGGATATTCTTGAAGAAAAATATATTTTGGACATAGTGATGCGATAATACCTCAGAGGAATGTGAATTGTTGGCAGAGGAAGTACGTTGGTGGGACCTTCCACCATATCGAGTATTAGAAGATCTAACAGAAGACCCAGAAGCACGGATTGGAACTGGAGAAGGTGAAACAGTATCCCAGGGAGAAGCATCATGTCCTGTACACATTCCATTGTTCACTAAAATTATGTCCATGAATTAACAAAAGAAACCAACAATGGCCAAGTTCAATACCAAAGCACGTGGATTTGTTGTTTTAAAGTTATGTATTTATTTACCAGATTGGGGTGTATGGCCTCCCAACCATGGCGAAACCAACCGTGCATCAGGAGAGGCCCCAATTAACATGGGGGATGGTGAAGGCTGATGATGCCTGCTGGAATTAGAATGACTATCTCGATGTGGTGTATCTTCCCATTCCCATCTTCCATCATCCCAATCAGATCTCCCTGCAAAAGTTGCAACATTTCAATATTACTGAAATGGTCATAAAAAAATATTTGTTGAGTTACAATTCCAACCAAAATAAATAACTTAATAAAGAAAGGATTTACCAAGTGTTCAATATAATCTAAAATGTAGAATCCAAAGATGAATTTTTTATATTTGTCAGGGCTTAATTTTTATAAAACCTCAATGAGGAAGGGAGATGGAAGTTGACCCTAATCATGTAATAATCGAGACAACCCAGTTGCCACTTGGCAACAAGACTCCATCGTAAGAATTCAAGGATAAGAATAAAACTTAAATGAAGAAAATATGAAAAGCACTCTTCCTGGACCCACTCAAACAAAATTATATCATATCTAAAGTAAGCTAAAACCAAAACTTGATTCAATTCTCAAATATATCCAAACCAAAAAAAATGTTTTAGAGGGGATTGATTCATAAAGATTGCTGAATCATTTTTAAACATTAACTAAGGAGGAGAAAGGAGAGAAGGTTCTGAACATATGCCAAACTTGTTCTCAACATCCTTATTTCTAATTTCTTTTGCTTTTTCTTTTCATTGTCCAGAGACCATTTCCAGAATCTTGCATCTTTAAAAATTAAATATCAATTGATAATGCAAAGTCAAAAGCAACCTAAATGATGAAAATTGAGACATACCAGGTGTCCACCTTGAATCTTCATATCTACTTCTTTTTCTTTCATACTCCTCACTGTACTCTCTTTCATATCGATTGCGTGATACTCTACCCTGATTTTGCTCTTCACGATCAGTACTGTGTCTCCTCCTCATCCCCCTGCTTTCACTTCTAGAGTCATCCCTGAAATAACTTCTCTCCCCACCACGGTCACTAGTATCGTACCTAGGGCTCCTATCTCGAGCATTTTGGGAGCTTCCAGTAGATGCAGCTACAATCTTTAGTTGCAGGTAAAAAAGTTGGGAGCAAATTATTGATTATTCATAATGGCAAATTTTTTGACTACTAAAAAATAATGCCAGTATAAAACAGCAGCAAAATGGAAGAACCAAAATAGCAACCAGATTAACCATAACACAAGCCCACTTCATTCCTAACTACCTCCTCAGTATATTTTTGGTACCAAGCACACTAAGTAAATCTTTGATAATTAAAAATACAATTCCTAACAAACTGATAACGAAACCATCAAACAAGCTATCAACATAGATAGAGATAGTCATATTAGTATATTACTCACGTGAACATCAAAATCCATTAACAGTCCCAAAAATTTAGTCCAATAATGGAGTTGAACCGCCAATCAGGATGTGCTTTTCATTAGTCCAAATTGGCAAGCACGGAACCTGAGATGAGATACTTCTTTATAATATTAGATTAATACTTTAACACCTGTCGAAGAAAAGGTTCTATAGCACAAACAAAAAGGTCACTATGTTTTGTAGTACAGAGTGTTGGATAATATCTTCATCCAATTCTCCCATTTTAAAAAATGAAAAAAAAATAAAATAAAATTTGAAAACCCGGAAACATGAGAGTAGCTAAAAATAAAAATGTTGAGATGGTTTATTATTGTTATTTTATTTTATATATTTAAGCACGTTGAGACAAATGAGTAGTGTTAGCAGGAAAAATAGAATAAGAAAAAAATACACTCATGAAAGCTTAACTAACGATAAAATGAAAGAGAATCAATCAAGATAATTTAGCCAATTGCAATATGACCAACTAATACACCAGTATGAAGGGGTCAATAGAACAAAGTTGAAAGTTGGAAAAGAACAAGAGAAAGGCAAAATAGGACAACGATTGGGTCCATTAAAGAGACATGACTTACACTTGAATTAGTCTATGGCTTTGCACAAAGTTAGCTCGAAAATTGATCCATATAGATGACACCAAGCAACTGAAATTAAGATTTTTTAAGTTGGGTTGAGTATTATAAAACCTTTATCTCTTCCACTAACCCTCCCTCACAATGAGGGACAATGGCTACCCTAAGTATGGCACAACTGCCCGACCTTCGATGTTTATAGTACAAGAAAATGCAATTAATACACATTGGATTTTCCTTTGCGCTTACTGCAATTCCATTTGAAAAAAAAAAAAGGCAAACAAACAAATAAATTCTAACTTTTAAACTCAAAATCAATATTGATACTTTTCCTCATCACTCCTAAAGATATCTATTGTTGTCTCTATTTCACTCAACAGGACACCTAAAACATTAGCCAGACCCTTACAATCTACAAGATTTGAGGACAATCAGAAAATCTCGCCAGCAGAAACTGGTTTAGTTTCATCAACAAATATTTGAAAAAATCCACATTTGGTACACAAAAATACCATAGAGACATTGAGAATCCTAAGATAAATAAGGGAAAATATAGAACTAACCTCAGAACGGATATGTTCATTTGATCGATGCCTCCTCAGTGTGTCACTTACTTGTCTTTCTTCAGTCACATTACTTTCTGCAAAGTTGGTACACAAAAATTTTCAGAAATTTTTTTTTTCCCTTTGTTCACAATGACAGAAATCAAAGTAGAGAAGACCAACACAATCAAACATCAACTAAACAAAAATAGATTTTTTTAGGGGCATTACTTCGTAGTGGGGTTATTAGGACCACATCTACTGCTCGTAATACAGTAGTGAATTTCGTTGATGGTATTGATACTTATTGAGTTTGTATGGGGCTGGATAGCTCTTTTATACCATCTATACATGGGTGCAGGTGCCCTTTTGCTTTTACACTTCTTAGTGAGCAAAATGTCAATTCTGTCAAAAAGTATTCATCTTTATCTAATAATAAGGTACGCTTGGATTTCAAAGTCCCTTTACTAAGAGATAGAGCAATCGTCAATCTCCAGCTCAAAGCTTACCAGTACAAAACCACGTGACCTGTCCTCGTTTATGTACCCCACTCGCGCTATTTAGCCGTGCCAACTCGCCATTAACTGGCATATTTTTTCCCAGCTACATGACAGGACTGTATTATTACTACTCCTCAATGAAATGTTGCAAATTTGAACCCCAAAACCATCAAAAACTTATTTAAAACTATACACAACCATCACCAACGGCTTCTTTTTAGCTTCTAATCCATTTGTTTTTTTGCAATACAGTCATGTAAAATATTGTCAATTGCCTATTTGACATTCCAACATTTTTCTTTTGTAACTTCAACATCTATTTGTTTTGATACATTACCTTCTAATGTCACAATTTGATCGCTGTACTCTATGCTAGAACCAATGTCTTATTGATCTAGATTCTAGTCATTTGACCACATAAACATCTAGGTAATAAATAAATAATAAAAGAAAAAAGAAAAGGCCAGAAAGCAACCAAAAAGGAAAAATAAAAAGAAAGAAAGCACTTCCATCTAGAATCCAAGTCACAATTACACCATCTCCGGGAAAAATATCTCCTCAGGCCTAAAGCAATCTATCACCCACACGAAGTGTAACTAGTTAATTATGCAAAGTTTATAAACTCCATAGGACTTAAGACATAACCATGACATGGATTACCACATTTCCTGACTGCCATCACACACACTTCTTGAGCCGAAGTAATCACTGCTTCATAGCAACAGTAAACTCTTGAAAATCAATATTTCTGGACTAAATCAGTTTAATTACTACCCTTCTGATATAAAGTTACTATCAAATTGATTGTTTGCATAGCTTTCTAGGATTTAAGATAACTAGTCAAACACTTTAAATGCGCATCAAGTAGAGATAAAAACAAGTTTGAAGAAAAAGTGGTAGACATTGCACAGTCATAAGAAAGCAAGGGCATTTACAAAAGTACATGCAGAGGTTGGCTTCATGTATAATTTAATGAGAGACCAAGAGGAAAAGTAAGACACTACATAACTTACCAAAAAATTAGAAATATAAAAAAAAAATTAAAAGAAATTTTAAAAATAAAAAAGACGACAGACAATATAACAGTACATTACTAGTCAAAAATAAAAACCAGTTCAGAACTTAAATTTCTAGTAGCAACTAGCAAGATATCACAATTTAAAACAAAGAAGGTACCTGAACGAGATGCCTCACTTGCAGATGCCTCACGATACCTCCTACCAGTAAAGCTACGTGCACTACTGTTTACATCACTTCCTACTTCATCTATCCCAGACAAGGCAGAGTTCTCCTCTTCATCCAAAGATGCCACAACAGAAGTAACTCTCTCCCTTGGAACCTTGAATGCACCATCTACTTTAGATTCGCCACGTTTCACATTTGCAAGCACATCTAGCCCTGTTTCAAATTCACATATTGACCTTTAAGTAATGTAATGGACATCAATTTTGCATGTCACATGTTTAACATTATTTATTTACTATAGAAGTTACATTACATGTCCATGTAATTCATACCTAGAAGGGATTTCCTTTCGGGAGGTTTGAACACTAGTCTATCTTTCCCAGGTACATATAACCCCCCGCCACTGGCCTTCTCAGGTTCCAACACTGTAGTTGTCTTGTCCAGGTCAATTAATCCACAATCGCCTCCTTGGTTCTAAACTTGACAAGGAAACTTTATCACAAATATTTCCAAGGAACAATTATGTAGTAAAACAAATCTTGTACAAGGAAAAAAAGAATAACATATAGCTAGGCAGAAAACTATATCATGATAAGTTTTGCAAATTGGACACTGACCTCCATGTTGGTTTGATGAACTTACAACACGACAACAATCCACAACAGCTGAACCTGCATTAACTGCAACGATTCAGTTAAATCTCTTCCCATGAGTAGATGATTTATGCAAAATTCTGTGGACAAAACCTAACTTTTCAATACACATTAATATACCAAAACAATTACATGCAACTATATATATATACACATCTATTATGGATTTTATTCCCCTAAGAGCAATGTCTCGTCTACATGAAACAGATTTAAAATTAAAATCTTTGATATTGTAATTAGAGTTGGTACAAAAACCTAACTACAACACATGAAATAAACGATAAATTGACATCAATTTTCTCATAAAGTTCAAATTTTGGTTTAACAATTATCCAAATTAGAAATAAACTACGTATACCAAACATAATTGAAGTAAATAAATAAATAAATAACTCACGGAACGTTGATTAATCCAGATAGAGAGAGAGAGAGGGATACAATAGGTGTATATAGAGAGAGAGATTACCATTAGCGAGGAGGGAGTTTCAAGGGCTGAATTTGAATCGACCTTCGAGGGCTTAGGGTAAGGGTTTCGAGAGAGTGAGAGACAGTTGACACAGGGAGATTAAGGGGGGTCCAACTTGAAAAGTGAAAATATGGAACCACAAAACAGAGACAAATTGGCTGTATGAGAAAGTAGATCTCGTCTGAGTATTAAGAGAGGATTGGGGTTTTATAGGTCGGTTTAGATATTACATTATTAGTGATTCGGTCGGTTTCTGTTTATTCGGTCCAACACTTGCAGGTTACGAAACCGTTGACATTTTTGCAATTTAAAAGTGTTTGAGAAGAGAGTTGAATTAAAATAGTCGGTAAAATAGATTAAAATAATTAGGGGTGGTAAATAAAAATTATTTCAAGTGCAAGCGAACACTACGCTTGGGGTAACTAATTGCAAATAAATGAACTATATCCGAAACTATGTCTACTGCAAGTGAGAACTGCTTTTGATGCAAGTGAACATTGTGCTCAGTGTAAGTAATTACAAATCAACAAAAATTTATCTAGAACTGTGTCGGTGTCGGGTTCAAGTGAATAATTGCTTCTGATGTAACGAATGGCAAAGTTTCCTTAACTTGTAATTAGTTTTTCATTTTTCATTTATCTAATCTTTTTTGTAGAATAACTATGGTAAAAAAAAAAAATCCTAGGATAACAATTCCCTGAACTACAGCTGATTTTTTTGGCAATTTTTATATTTTGTTGTTTGTAGTTTGTGTTAGTTTTTTTGTTTGGTCTTTTGGGACCTTGTTGTTCTTATTTATTTATATTGTTTATTTTATTTTGACATAACTGCGTTTAACTTTTCTCAAAAAAATAATAAATAAAGATTATCAAATAATTCCCTTGATCTTATGTTATTTTTAAAAAAATAATACTCTCCCTCTCTCATTAATGTAGTGATTGTACTATTCTTACACTTTCTTATGCCATTTTCTTTCTATAAATGGCCCTTCCCCGCCAACAACAAGAACCAGACCTTAATTATCAATTTTTAATATTCAGAGAATGGGATTTGAAGGTATGGAGGAAAATGATCTGAGAACCAAGAGCTTTCGCGACGAAGACTACAATAACAGAAGGGTGTTCTTAAGAAGCTATCCTCTTCAATGGGGAGGAGATGAAGGTGAAGAAAACAAGCAAGACACAGTCGAAGTCAGCTATGGTGGTGGTGGTGGTAGTGGTGATGGAAAAAGAAGCCCATAAAAAGGTTAATCGTAACAGTTTTCGAGTGGGGTGAAGGAAAGATTTTGGTGTTGAGGAGATTTAAGCACAAGATTGAATTTTACATCATCGCTTGTCTTCCAGTTGTCTTCAAACCACCAACCGCCTTAATTTCAGCATAAAATCTTGGATTCAAGATCTTTTGTCATGTATCTCTTTGCAACAGTTTAGATTTGAAGTTGAAGAAAGACGATATTAAGTTGCCGCTTAACGTCTTTCTTCTTCTGCTTTCACTTCTCTCCTTATAATTTGTGTACTTTCCATTCAACTATATCATGTATGTTCCTGGATTCGTTCGTGAAAGATTTTCATTATGCCATGTGAATGAGAGCGCATCGAGAAGGAGATGTTCGGAGATAAAAGGATCCATGGCCCATGTACATCTTTTTTTTATGCTTTTACTTCTCTCTCTCTCTCTCTCTCTCTCTCTCTGTTGTATAAAAATTATCTTTAAATTCATCACTCTCTCTCTCTGTTGTAATGCATTCCAAGAGGGGTGGGCGCGGGTCGGTTGCGGCCACGAAACCTTCAATCCGCCATCCATCCGCCAAATTGGCGAATTGAAGAAAATCAATCCGCATCCGTCCGCCAATCCGGCGGATGCGGATTGAGCGGATTGGCGGATGCGGATTGAGCGGATTGACGGATTAGCGGATGGATGCGAATCGGTTTGGCGGTTTAAAATTTTAATTTTCAACGTAATTCAACATGCGAACTTCCTCAAAAAAAAAAAAAACAAAAAATGTGGACTTCTCTCCTCAATCACCACTTGTGTGCAATGTATATACAAACACTGTGCACTGTGCAGATAAATAATTCTTGGCTTGCATAAATAACTCTTATTTCTTGTACCAAGAATTCCTACTGGTTCTGTAATGGAGTTGAAAATGGGAAACTTTTCTGGTTCTGTAATGGAGTTCAAAATAAGAACACTTGCAGATAAGTTCTGTAATGAACTTGCATATAAGTTCAAAATAAAAACACTTTCAGATGAGTTCAAAATAATTCTGTAATGAACTTTTCTGGTTCACACATAAGTTCGTCAAACCAAAATAAAAACACTTGCAGATAACAACTATTTCATCAAATAGATTTCATTAAAAAATTGTTCATGCATTCTATATTCTGTTCATTATAATAAGTTTGAAACATTTCATCAAACAACTAGTGGGTATCAAAAAAAATAAAAAAGAATACACATGCAGATAACAAGTTAACAACCCAGAAATCAAATACAAGCCAGAAACAAGCAAGTCATAGCAGAAAAATTAAAAAAGCAAGAGATCATGAGAGTTTCCATGGATTGTGAGATAAATTATAGGTACACAAATAGTGAGTCAAACAGTGTAATGAACAGACAATATTTATTAACAAATACAACCAACAATACAAGAGAAGAACAAAGAAAGAGAGAATTCAACGGAGGACTTACTGATAAAACGAACTTGCTCTCACTCTGTCGGATTGAAAATTTAGAGAGAGACAGAAAAGGAATTTGTGATTAGGTTAAGAACACAGAACATAGAACACACGTTGGGAAGAGAAGAAAATGAGGAAAATAGAACAAGAGAAAAAGAAAAGAGGAGGAGAAGAATAGATTTGAATCGAGGCTTCGATCGCTGCTCACCAGTGTCGCCGATCGCCGATCATTGCTCGCCGCCACAGTCGCAGCTCGCTGATCGTCGCTCACTGTCATTCCAGTGAGAAAGAGAGAAAGAGAGACAGAGAGGCAGAGAGAGAGAGATAGAGTCGTCGAAGGAAGAACCTAGGGCAACAAACGTGAAATGAAAAAATGGAAAACATAGGTGAGGCGGGCGGGTCGGGTACACCAATGGAAATGGCGGATTACCCGAGACCCGACCCGAATCCGTGAAATTGGATATTTTAGACCCGTATCCGTCCGCCATAACTCACGCATCCAACCAAAACAGCACGGGTCGGGTCGGGCGGATCTGACGGGCCGGAGGACCCGTTGCACAGACCATGTCTCGCTTCTCCAAATTTCTATGCTAAAAGATTTTCACAACATCGTGCAACTAAATTTCTATATTAAAATTTTTTAAATATCATGCAACTGAAAGTGCATTTAGACTCAATGATTTTGTGATATAGATGACCTACTCATGCAAATCTATATTAATGAGCATCCTATAATGTAAAAAATTTCATCAAACTATATTTTATTGAGATAAAGCAATTCTTCCCTCTCTTCATATAACTACTAGGGATAACCTTAATGCATACCAAGTTTTTTCAAGAAAAAAAACCTGTCTCTAAGGAAACAGAATTTGCTGCATCAAAGTTGAAACCTGATAATCTATAAACAGAATTTTAAAAATTTCAGAATAACCAAAAAAAAAATTATTCAGTTCAATATAATCATCAATTTCAGTTTAATTCTAATATATTTGCCAAGAAATTGAAAAGAAAAATGCCTCAAACAACAAAAGATCAATATAGCATATACCTCATTCATTAATCCGCGTACTCTTTGATTGATGGATAAATTTCTGTTGAATGTAAAAGAAATCAACGAAACAAATCCTCTACCCCGAAAAAAAAATTACATATAGTAACACCATATGATACAACAAAAATTACATTTACAAACCAAGCCTCTTAGGTCTCAGGTAAGTGGAAGAGCCTTGCCGCATCCCTGGCGTTGAGACTTGTTGTTGCGTCTTTGCCCTCTTCTCCCTCTCCTTCGCCTTGCTCTATCTCTCCGCCTCTGCTTGTACCTTCCTCAAATTCTCCATCTCCTCCTCCATCGCCGTCTTCTCTTCCTTCGGTTTCTTCTTATACTCCAACATGGAAGTATCCGAGTCCTTCACCGAAAAAAACATGGGTCCAAGCTCGGCCAACCACTAGGGTTCCACAGCTGTTGCACACTGCATGTATTCCTTCGTTGTCAAGATCAACTCATGATAAACCACGTAATCCGAAGTGTAGCCCAAACCATACAGAGCACTGCTTGGGTGCAAGTGACACGGCATTCCATTCCGACAATTAACGTACCTCCTGACCCCCTTGAGCCTTGCAGTGTTGTGAAAGTACGCAGAACAGATTGCTTTCCGTACAATATCCCAATCAGGGTCACATGATGTGAGCGGGATTTTGAGCGTTTTGAGAATATCAAGTAGTTGGGATCGTACCTCCCTAGCCTTTCGTAGCCCTTTAACGTGGAGAAAATGGTCATTACACCAATCTCCCCGGTACTGATTAGCTTTCCATTGCTGGTAAACGTTGAGCAGCGTCAAATGGTCTGATTCAGGCACAAAGAATTTTTCCCTTGCAGCATCGCTCTCTTCTGCCCTATCTTTAGGCCTAAAGAACACCAACGGCACTGAAAGCATTGACACGATTGTCAGAACTTCGTTTAAGCATCCAAGCTGTTCACCCATCAAAAGCATCTTAGCGAGTGGAGGGTCTAATGGAAACTCCACCATTTTCCAACCGAGATCAGTTAGGTTTCCGACATTATTAACGGCACCCAAGACCCACAACTGGTACATGGAATTAAGGATGTTATCCTGTGGAGGTGGGTCCATGAAATCAAAATCTAACAAGTTCTCGATTTTGAGGGACTTGAGCAACAAAACCACATTGCCAAGATTAGTCCTCTGAATTTCAGGCACCGGACTCTGCAGCATTTCGTTTTGGTATGCAGTATCTGTATAAAGACGATAATAGGTACCCGGACCGGTTCTACCGGCACGCCCGGCACGCTGGTCAGCAGCGGCACGGCTCACAGGGAAAACTTGTAGAGCATCCATACCCATCCGTGGGTTGTACACCTTCATTTTACCATATCCTGTGTCAATGACATAGTAGATTCCATCTACAGTCAAATATGTCTCAGCAATATTTGTAGCAACAATACATTTGCGAGCCCCTTCTTCGGCTTTCTGAAATATTTTTGCTTGCAAATCAGCTGGTAACTGGGAGTAAATAGGGAGAATCAAGAGTTTAGGAACGGCATTCTTTGTGGATGATACGAGCTATTCCATACGCTCTGAAAGTGCATAGCAAGTTGCTTCTATTTCGTCTTGGCCAGTCATGAAGATTAGTATGTCACCAGCGGGACTGGTGATATGGATAGTCATGGCCTGCTTCACCGCAGCTTCAACATAGTCTTCACAAGGGGTTTTACTATACAAAATATTTACCGGGAATGTTCTTCCAGGGATGTGGAAAATTGGTACACTGTAACAAAATGGGAAATCATTCATGCTTAGTGCCTAACCACAAACAATGACCATACACAGTTTAGTATTTATAAAAAATTTACCTTCCAAAGAAATTTGAAAATTTCTGTGCATTTAGAGTTGCAGACGTCACAATGAGCTTGAAATCACGACGCCGGGCAACCACCTTCTTAAGGATCCCAAAAAGCACATCTGTGTTAAGTGATCTTTCATGTGCTTCGTCCATTACAATGACATTGCAAAATTACAACCCCGATCGTCAGTAATTTGATTAATCATGAACAGAACTCAACACCCAAAGCTAAGCAAATATATAGTCTCAAAAGTTTTAATTAAAAGAAGTAAAATATAAACCTCATACCGGTACTTGTCAAGATCAGAGTCTTTAAGTGTCTCACACAGAAGTACACCATCAGTCATGTACTGTAACAAGGGAAATGAAAAGACTCAGCATCACATAATCCCATAGAACATGGGCACCCAAAAACAGCAAACCAAGATACAACAAGACCAGAATCCACAATTTTTTATAAAAAAAAAAAATTGCAATATCAAAGTTGCGTTATATATAACCGTCCAAGAAAAATCTCAGAAGCAAAATGTTTTAGCATGGGAATTTTTTCCCTTGGAAATTGGGATAATAATATCACTTTGGGATTGACTTAAAAATGTATGCTTTCACAAGCACAAAAAATAATTAGTTACCTTGATTACAGTGTTCGGTCCAGTCACATCCTCAAAGCGAATGGCATATCCAACTTGATCACCCAGTTCAGTTTCCATCTCTTCACTCACTCTTTTGGCAACACTCATGGCTGCTACACGCCTTGGTTGGGTGCAGCCCGCAATGCCATTAATTGTGTAGCCATCTTCACGCGGATACTGCCAACAATTTCTAAAGGTCAGACTACAGATGATAACATAATTACAGCTACACTCTCAAAACTACAATAACCATTATATGATCTTTTACTAATAATTGAACCTGTGTCAGTTAAGTTGTTTTTCCAGAACCAGTTTCTCCGACAACTACCACAACCTGGTTTTCGCGAATCACCTACTCCATGGGAAATTGAAGCTGAGTTGGAAATACGTTCAACTGGAATGGAAACACAACAAAAGAAAAAATCCAAGGAATTCTATCAGTGCTATCATCACTTCTTAGTTGCATATCAAGTAAAAACAGGACTTAAGAAGCACTTAGATGTCTAATAGGATAGTACAAAGGGCGAAAAATTTGTAATAGAACATTTAATCAGCAAGTAGATTAGTGAACCATCCTCCAAAAAAACAATTATACTACATACAAAAGGATAAGTATCAAACATGCAATAACTCCTCTCGTACAGAATATATGGGCAGATACTGGCGTTGCTGAGCTAGTGTTTTTGACTTTACAAAATCACTCACTGCTTCATCCTTCTTTAAGTGTGTAGCAAACTTGGCATCTTCCTTGAAATCAACTTCACCTACTACAGCGGTATCTGCATCAACCTATCACAGAACAAAACAAAGCTTCAGTGGCATGCTTCATGTGTGTGTGTGTGTGTGTGTGTGTGTGTGTGTGTGTGTGTGTGAGAGAGAGAGAGAGAGCAATTCATTTCTTTATTAATAGAAAAGAAGTCAAGTTTTCAGTTTTCAAAGCATTATACCTGCTCTTCTGTCTTCTCAACACCGAGGATATCACCAAGTTTTGAGCCTGCAAGCTCCCAAAAACGTTGACGTGATTTGTTCGAACTTTGTTTCTCATGAATTTCCCGTACCAGAGCAGACCCTTTCCGGGATATAATTGCCATATCTGATGTTGTGTCTTTTAATGGCATTATTGGCTCTGCTTGCTTTGTGAAAACAACCCTTCCATCCAGGAAAGGGGGTTTTGTATCTGTGACAAGAAGCAATTACAAAAATATAAGATAAAAGAAAATGGCAAGAATTAATTGACCATGATTTCTGTCAATTGATTGGGAAAGGATATCTGAGTTCTCATACCATGAACAAGAAGAATAACCTTCCGCTCCTCCTCATCATTAAATTCAGTCTGCACCTCAGTACCTCTAACTGCTCCAGATCTCAGCAGTTGCCTGTCCTCCCATTGAGCATTATCAGCGGTGAGCTGTGATAACTTTTTGCTCTGAGCAAGTGTCATTTTTGTTCCATCCCTTCGAACCTGTAATTCAAAACTTATAATTAGTTTAAAAGGGAGAACAATGCTGAATGGCAGCATATCTTAGCCAACGCTATAAGTTGAAACTATGAAAAGACATTTCCCTCATACCAGTTTTTTGGCCAACTCTGTCTCTTTCTTTTGGAAAGAAGCATCATCGCCAAGGAAAAATGATGAACTATCCACATCAAACATTGTATTTCCTTCTTCTCTATCATACCTACTGTTAATATATATAATATATCTACATAGATAATATATATAATCTATATACATAGATTAGATTAATGTATAGTTAGTGGCAGTAGTGGCATTGTGCTTTCGGCTGCTTTTCCTTTCTGTCCCTTTCCTATGATGGTGTCTGTATAGCATTAGCATCTTTCCATCTCTTATATATGAAGGAGT